TTATTTATCTTAACGCCTTCTATGGCGTAAAAATGGCAAAAAAGAAAAAGAAATTTATAAAAGAAAAAAAAAGAAATTTAAAAAACAACAAAAAAGAAAACTAAATTAAAAATTAAAATAAATTAAAACATTTAACAATGCTTCATCGAAGAAATTCAGGCGATTTTTTGATTGTAAAGTGATTGCAAAAAATTAAAATTTAAAATGACGTAAAAAAAAAATAAACAAATTCAATAAATTAACCAAATTAAATCTTTACACTCATCATCTCCTGAAAAGTTCCATTGGTAAATTGTACATAGCCAGTAAAATAGTTGTTCCTTTATTTCCAATGTCGTTTTCTCCCATTTTGTAACACTCTGCTTTCGTCTGTCCATCTCTCTTTTGAATGTGAAAAGGATGAGACAAAAAGGAAAGAAAGAAGACTTTTGTTGCAAAAGGACACAAGGAACAGTCGACAGTAAGGATCGAAATAGACGCGCACAAAAAAAAAAAAAATCGTTACAAACTTAACTAACGCAAACACAATGACACAACTATATTACCCAGTGTGGATCGCACTCATTCACATAACACTAATAAATTTGTCTACGTAACGACCTTGCGAACCTTCTCTTCACAATGGTGTCTACGAAAGAAAAGACGTATCTAAGAGAAAGACGTAATTTACACCTGATAGCCTCCAGACGTCATTTTAAACTGACTCTTTTTTTCTATGTATTGCGACCATTTTGCTTAAAGTTCGAATGTTCTTGATTTCAGATGAAAACTTGGAAATTTTCCAACATATTTCGGTGAAATACTCAGTTTCCAAAATTATAGTTTACTAGAAATACCCGTGAAAATGACACGGTTTTCCTATTTTAATTTTCTGATGAATCTTAAGCTAATGACTGAATAAGCTCAGGGCAAGTTCAACGACAATAAAATATCAGTAGAAATTCCCCTAGCGCATCGTTAAATATTTGAGCTTAACAACTTTTACAAAATATTGCAATAACAATCATAAATATGAATGCTGGTCGTTATTTAAATACGTAAAGGGGCACAAATGGGAAAATTTGAAATTGACAACTTTTCCATTTCACTGAAACAGACGCTAAACACAAGAAAGTGTTATCGCCTCTTCTATCTTCAATTCTTTTTTTTTCATTTTCTCACTGAAACCAAGTAGCTTCTCTGATAGTTCCACAAGCGAGAACTGCAAGAAAAGATACTATCAGAGTATAGTTTACGGTTAAATCTAATTATTTCAATAGTAAAATGATGAGACCTAACTGTCAATCTAGTACTACGTTTAAGTTCATGAAGTTGAGGTAGCAAAGGGAAAAGCTCATCAGAACAATGGCCATGAAAATATTTAAGAGACACAAGGAAACAAAGTTACGGCGGTGGAAAAGTAACCGGAGCTGATATACCATTTCAGGGCCGATAACATTATAGACACTACTTTGGATTTCTTTTTTAAGCATTTCACCCCAAGCAAGCGTGCCACTAGTTCGCAAGGATCTACAGCGAGTGTAAGTAAGAGAAAAAAAACTAGGTATAATGGGGATTGAGGAAATGATAAAAAGGAAAAATGAAAAGGATAAAAAGAAGAACGGAGATCAAGGCATCAGAAGATGTCGATTGATATTACATTTAAATTTTTGAAGATTATAGTTATCAGAGAAACAAGTAAGTGGGAAGGAGTTCCAATGTCGAGAAGTGTGAGAGAAGATGCTGTAAGAGTAGAAGATGCGGTTACATTTAACTGTTTCGACAGTAAAAGGGTGGGATCGAGATGACAATCTCGTAGCACACTTAAATTCATGCAGTCAGGGCACCAGTGAAAAATAGTTCGTCAAAGAAAATGCCATGAAAATATATATTTTATCAAGAATATATATATATATATATATATATATATATATATATATATATATATATATATATAAGCACTAGACCACATGCAGTAGCAATATTCAATGCAGAGACAGATGATAGACTTATAAATGTGCAAGATAGATTTTGGCGAGAAAAATTTTCTGGCACTACACAGTGAGTCAGCTTTCCTAGCAGCAGGTCTAGCAATTAATTCAATATAATCATTTTACTTCATGTCAGATTGGTATCAGCCATACTGATAAAGGACAAAAACGGTTCTCTAAGATGACTAAAAGACAGCAGTTTCGTTGTGGAGGCGTTAAAATTTACAAGCCATTTCATGACCCAGTTAAGAGCAGACTGAAGGTCAGTTTCGGGATCTGTTGTAGACAGAATAATTGGTCGTCATTAACATAGATACCGAATCGGGAATTGATAATATCGGGAAGTCCGTTGATGAAGATAAGAAATAAAGTCGGTCTAAGATTATAGTTCTGAGGGGCACCCGCGTTAATAAAAAAAAACGATCTGGAAGTGTGACATTTCCAGACGACTTTCATTACGTAATTTGTTAAGAGAGATTGAATCAAATCAAAATTTTCTCCTGGAGCACCGTAACCCTTCAGATTTTGCAGAAGACCAGCATTCTAAACCCTGTCAAACGCCTTTGAGATATCTAAAGTCACATTCCGAGCTTTGCCGATTTTTATCTAAAGTTTGACAGACTCTTTAACTAATAACTGTTAACACATCGGCGGTTGACTCAAAAAAACGAAAGCCATATTGTTTTTATGACAGAAAACCCCGCAAGGTGAGATGTTTAATAATTTCGGAGTAGATTAGAGCGTCTAGAACGTTGTCAAATAGATTTAATCGGTTGATAATTCAAAGGCTCAGATGGTTTACTCAAGTTCTTAAAAACAGAAACAACAGAAGAGAATCTCTAACAAGCTGGAAAGCAAGAAGCAGCAAGGCATTTGTTGTAGATTTTAGAGAAAACAGAAGTCAGTTCAGGGGCGCATTTCTCTTGGACAATTGTAGAGATATCGTCGAGTTTGCATGCTTTGTAGGGATCGATTAGTGGAAATCATGGACGGAATTATGGCAAAGATACGACTGATGAGTTCAGAGTATAATTGGAAAAGAATTTACGAGCAAAGCATTCTGCTTTATCAACAGCAGATAACAATACTTCAAAGTTATTGAAAAGAGGGGAGATTGAGGATTTATTATTATTTAACACACTCTTACAGAGCCACCAGTAGTCACGAGAACCAAACTTGTGAAAGACTATATGGTGTCCCACTCTGTCATCGAACAGCGACTTAGCCTCATTAAATACATACATGCAATTATTACGAGCGAACATGAAAGCATCAATGCCAGATTTCACTAAAGAAGAAACCACAGTGGCACAATTTTCAATGAAAAGATTATAGATTTCACTCCAAGGGTCGTCGTGAAGTAAATGGCAAAAAGAATTCAAATCGGTCCGCTGGTAACAAAATGAAGTCCTGTGAACAGGATGTTCATGTCTAATCCTTCTTCCCTTAGGTGTAATACGTGATGCGCGTTTGAGCGATCATCTCTTTCTAATTCTTGATTGACTTGACAGAAGAATTCCCGCAGTAAGCTGCCGTTACTTTTTGTAGTAGACTGGTCAACTGGTATTCTGTTAGTGTTGCATTATACTAACCTACCTTCGTGGATTGAATATATTTGGTTCGAAAATTAAAAGACAGTTGTTAACTAATTACAAGAGACTCCTGAAGAGGTCCGGAACGTCAGGACGATAACAACGTTCGAGAAATCTTTAAAGTATTAGACTGAATTTTTCTTCAATAAAAATCATTCAAAGACAATTGTTGTTTATTTTTTCCAAACTTTGTCTTCAAAATAAGGGTGCGTCTTATAAACCGAAAAAAAGCCAATAAGAATTTATACATCTGGTTAATTCCATTTCGTTCCGCTTGCTTTTAAATGTCATTTGTTTTCTGTTTTGTTTGGATGGTTTAACTGAAGAAAAACTGTATCCAGTTTTCACTATTAAACTCTGTTAGCTATCTCTTCTTCCTTTATCGCTCCACTTTTTCTCAGGTCTGTAGCGTATTAGACAAAATATTTGACAGTATAGATCTATCTATCTATCTATCTATCTATGTGTTTGGCTTTTTTATGATCAACATGTCAAATGACTTCATTATTTTAATGCCACTGATATTGCTGGTATTTGTTACTTACTCAATCTCTCTGTCAAATTAATAGATTTTCCTACTCGTTTCTCTATTAATTCTGACCAACTAGCTTCTTTACTTGATTTGTTCCCTACCACCTCTCTGGACACTCCGTTAACACTGTCATCTTGGCAATTTGGGTCACGCTGTCGTGTCTGTTGATATTTCTTTTGACCCGTCTATCAGGCATGGGGATGTGCGGGTGGTGTGATGGATAACGGATCGGATTGAGAAATCGAAGAACCGAGTTCGAATTCCAGTCGAGTTCGTTATAGTTCACGCAAACCCTTGTGTAAGGTATGAATCCAGCTCTTCTCAACTCCCCCTGCCCCCAGTTATGGATTAGACAGAAGTGCAAATTGGGTCGTATACAATACCGGAATGTTACCACTTGTGACATACACCTGAAGAAAACCAGAGTACAAGTGTCGGAACGTTTGACAATAGCAACAACCAAGATGAAGCAAATCAGCATAATTCTAAATATCAAAAAGAAATTCTTATAAATAAAAAAAAAAAAAACATCGCTATTCCTCCAGTCCAGTGTATATGCAGAAGTTGTACTAAATTATAAAATAAAAAAAAAATGTTAACTTATTTTTCAAGCTATTCTAGAATAGTGGTGCAAATAAATTAACGAACACAGCAGGTTTTAGCTGCTGTTGTAGCCTTGTATGCCGAAGCCTATGACGTGTGCTGCTGAAAATACTATCCCATCAGCAAGCAGAACAAATTTAGCAGGCCAGTCAGAGGTTACGTCCTTGAGATTTGTAGTTGAAGGTCGCTAGAACAACTGTCAGGGACAAAGAAGCTTACTTCTTGCTTGTCTAATTCTATCACACACCCACACGCTGTGTGTAAACCTTTCAGTCCTCTACACGGCTCCGACCTGTTCGAACTATGGCGTGTCTGCCGCAGTCCGATGCTGATCTGAAAAAACAGATCACTATCCGTGGAATCGCCCAAGTTGGCGACGTAGCCGGAATCAAGAAAAGTTTCAATCGGCATTTGCATTTCACTCTGGTGAAAGACAGAAATGTTGCCACCCCAAGAGACTACTTCTTCGCCCTGGCACACACTGTCAAGGACCACTTAGTTGGCCGTTGGATCCGAACTCAACAGTATTATTATGAAAAGGATCCCAAGGTTCGTGCTTTTTTTTTTTTAAATTTCAAATCTTAGGTGTACAATCGCTATTTTTCCTCTTTTTAACATTTAATTTATGAGAAAGCTTATGTTGTTGTCCGTAGAAAAAGTTGCAACAACGTCTATCAACGTCCGTAACAACACCAAGTCTTTCCTGTTTTTCTTTTAAAAATAAATTCACCATCCTAAAGTCAGCGCGCCTGTTGCTTTATTTTGAATAAATCAATTTATTATTTCTATTGACCATTTACCATTTTTGTCTTCAGACGTGATTTCTCGTCGATGTCATCGAAGAAACTTAACAATAGCTCGTTACAATACGATTTTTTCATTATCTCTTTTTTCAAAATTTGTAAAATTAACAGAAAAATTATCCTGCCGAGCCAAAATAAAACTTTAACAGTTAAAGTTTAACTAGACCAAAAAAAATAGTTGTACTTAAAGAAAAAAAAATCAAATGATTTTACTTTTTTATACGAGTACTAATTTATTTCATCTTAAACGTAGTTCATTTTTTTTTTTTTTAAATAATCATTAAATTAAAGAATTAGTTGTTGCAAATTGGTCTATACAGTTTTCTTGCTACTGATTGACCAACCTTTTTTGTTTTAATTGCTACTATTTTTTAATTAAATCATTTTTAATATAAATAAGTTTAATGTTTCTGATTTTTTCCTTGTTGTTTTGAATGCATAAGATACGCTTGTGAAGGAAATTGTCTTTTTAAATTAATCTTAAAACAAACCACCTTAAACACAATAAGCAGCTACACAGTACAGTACACAAGCAAATTAAAGACGAATATATGAGATAATAATTGTGAATTAACAATTTTCACGTTTAAAAAAATAAATAAATCAATAACAAATACATTCATTATCATACTGAAAAAATTACTTGGAACAATTATTATTTTATTTATCTGCATGATATATTTGCCTTGTAACAAAAAATATTCATATACAACTGACGTCTTTTAAAAATAATGACGTTGGCCGAATTTAGACTTTTGCACCTTCAATTGTTTTATGTGTAATTTTTTTCCTTTAAAGATGGTCCCTCAGCTAAACAACCGATACCAGTTTTCTTTTTCTCAACATTAAAAGATTTTTAGTAAAAAGAAAAAAAGTCACTCCCTTTTTATTAAGGAATCGGAATTTGAAGAAAAATCTTTCTTTTGATTCTTTGTATTCATTTCCCCTAGCCAGTGCATTATTGATAATACTTGCTTAACAGAAATAGTAGTAGCGGCTGCAGTAACAATACGTTTACTACTTACTACCACCAATAATAGCTGGCAGTTGTTACTGAAGAAGCAGAAACATGATACCATTCTGTGTTGGTTTGCGAGAATAAATCCCACTCTTTACTCTGTAAAGTGTAAATGCTTTAACCGCCATTGTGCTAGGGGCACTTGCCAGCCTCTCGCTATTTGCATTTGTTTTTTCAGTAAATTTAGTTTGGCATCATCGCCTGGTTTGCAAACGAACTTCGTATTATATAGTTACTGTTTTAGTATTCTGTACTTACTGTACGTGGCTGGTTACTTCAAAAACATACTTGGCAATCATCGCAATCGTACTTCTCCAAAATTGTAACAACAGTTGTTCGGTTCGACCTTGACATTATTACAATAAACAAAAACACAAACCCAACTAGTGCTATATTCTCACTGCCTTCTCTCTTTCTGTTTAGGAAAAAGCAAGAAGGATATTTTTTCTTCTTTTTTTTTTTTTTTTTTTTGATATTTTTTTTTATTTCAGTAAAAAAAATAAATAAAATAAAGCTTTAACACTTTATTAACAGGAACCCAATTTTATTCCAGTTTTCCTGGACGTAATGTTAAAAATTAATAAATTGTCTAAAAAGTAGAGTAACAGGACTAGTAGTTTGATAGCAATGTGTCTGCTTATTTTTCACCGAACCAACGTAGTAGTTTGTTCGAGCCCAGGTAAAAAAAAATAAATAAATAAATTATGAACGCTAATTTTCAAGGCAGATAGGCTGGCCTTATTTTCGACAATGGATTGGAAAAAAAAGTGCAATCATTGCACTTCCTCCAGTATAATAAATATATTTCTGTGCCAGATTTTAAAAATAAAACTATGGACCCTAAGTAACAGTTAAAAAAGAGTACTTGACATCTCTTTTTTTTTTTTTTTTAATTTAAAAAAAAAAATTATATTCCTGTTCTGATTTTCTTTTTCCTTCTCTATATCTTTTTTTTTTCTCATCTATTATTCCTTTACACACCGGACTGATTTAATGTGGTAGTAAGATAGCAAAAAGAGAAATTTTATTTTAAGAGCTACAAAGACAGGAAGTTGTGGAGAATCATGATTGCACACGTCCTGAAGGGACGCGGTGCATAATGGTAACAAAAAGCATCTTCGTTTTTTGTTTTTTTTAGGGAAGTCTAAGTGTTAAACGACAGTCGTTATTCAAAATTTGGCAATCCATAAAGAAAAACTATTTAATTCTTTATAGGCATAAAGTAAAATTTTATCGAAAATCAAATATAAAAGAAATAAACAATAGTAAGTTTGTTTATTAATGAATACAATGTTTGTTTATTAATACAATGTTTGTTTATTAATGAATACAATGTTTGTTTATGCTGGTGTCTTTCGTATCTTTTAGTGAGTTTTATGTTTTTTTTGTTTTTTTTTATGAATCAACAAAGTTATAGCTGGTTTTACTTTTGTTGATTTTATGATGGAAAAATGAAAGAAAGTAAAAAAATAAACTGTTTGAAGGGTGGTCGAGGAAAACGAATTTATGGATCTATTAGTTAGTAACTAGTGAAAGAAAGAATAATTAATTTTTTACTTTTGTTTATATTGTTAAAAAAAATGTTTAAGTAGGTCACAATTATTACATTTTCATTTTATCACCGATTTGCAGATCTAGTTTAGGTGACTTGACAACCGGAAATCAATTCACGTGGGTTTTTTTTCGTTTTTTTTGTTTATTTATTTATATATGTTTTATCAACTCAAGTTAAGTCACTACCTACTTAACTAGCTCAAAAGCCGCCTTATCTGGCAGCATTTGAACTAGCTCCTTCGAGGGAGATAGATGCAATATAAACTACACTACAGTAGAACTCAAAATTGATCGCTGCACTTATTACATTATTAAGCTTACCTTTATTCTTCTGTCGCCATTTAATTTAAACACAATTTGATGCACTTTTTTATTTTATCTCATGGGTGATTTTCGTTGAATTTCGGAATTAATTTTGTTTGAATATTCACAAATTTATTTCCAAGTTATACAAATTGTTATCGTTCAAAAAAAATCATCGCAAAAAATCATATATATATATATCACAGTATAAAAACTTGAATCCAAAAATTCAGGATTGCGGGTCTGAATGTTTTTAATTTGCTCACGGAGTCGGCCTGATTCCAAAATGGTATATTTTGGGCTACAGGACCTCTGGGAGTAAAGTTGAAAAGGTGTTACACACTGACATTCACATTTTTGGGGGTAGATCTGTAAATAAAACAATAGTTATGAATTTTCATGGAGAAATGAGTACTTTTTTTTTATTTCCTTTTAATTTTTTTTTTTTTAGTCTTAGGATTTTTTTCAACGTTTAAGCATACAAAAAAATGGATCATTCATCATCAGACGAAGAATGAACCACGAAATTTGGCTGTAAATGGTTTTTTTCAGGTTAAAATATTTTTTATCCTAGCAAAGGTTTCTCTACGATGTGACGGTTTTGCTATTAAACAGAAATCCAGTTATTATATTAGGTCGCTACACGCAAGATGCGGTTACACTGCAAGGACTGCATAGTGGCTGAAATAGTTACGAACGTTCCACAAGTGACAGATACTTATTCCATACTAGGTGAAAGCCAGAATTTGGACTTTCGGTTAAAGGCAAGCAAACTTTATCCAATTGTAAGCTTAGAGAAATAAATTCACCCACTATCATTAACATGCTTCGAATGATTTGTCTCCCTGTTTCTAGTCCACAATGCAAACCTCAGAGGAGACACATAGAGGATACAATTTCATTTGTTATAATGACCGGGAGGCTTTGAATCAATTGGATTTATTTCTTCCAATTGGGCATTGCGCGCTAAAGTAATCGAGTTTTGACAAATACACACGACGCAACATTGGAAGTTTAATGAAGTCTGAAGAACAGCAACAATCTTAATTTTTCTGAAATTTTAAAATGCCAATTTTGATTTATTTGCACAGTTTATATTCTACTGTTTTTATTGTACTTTCATGCTTGAACGACGAAGAATGCATTATTCTGAAGTGGTCAAGACAGCTGTGTAGACAATATATTCTGCTAAGACTTTGGCTCTGAATCTCTGTGGCTGCAAAAATGTTTCCAACTAGATTCATATTCCTAAGGTCGATCCCGGTTTTATGACCTTGAAAACTTGAAGAGTAAAAGCTTTCCCTGAAACTAAGTGCTTGTTCAAAGAGTACAAATGAATAAATTAAAATGCAATCAATATATTTTAACTTAAGAGTCGTCATCATCAACTGTACAATGTAGAGAAGACTTAATTGTAAAAAAAATTTTCAATTAAGTTTTCTATAGTGTACAATTAATGATGACTCTTTAAATTAAAATATAGGGAACCTCAATCTGGGATCAAAGTGTAGTATCTGTTCATTCTTCCCCTTACCTCGAGGTTCCCAAAGCTCATCAAAATTTTCCAATGAAGTTGTGTATCCTGGTCCCGGGGATTCCAGACCTACAGTGGCATCTTCCTCGTTGCAATGAGTGGGGGTTGGTGGATACAGATGTTGCGGTGACTGAGAATTTTTGTATTTGGATTTTATGGTGATGATTTTTTTTTTCTTTTTTTACTAAGTGTAGCTTGGATGTGGCACAAGGCTGAAAGTATGGGTCACCCAGTGAGGATCGAACTTGCTACTCGGTCGAAATTGTTCTAGCGAGAGAAGCTTGCTAACTATTACACAAAGTTGAGTTGCCTTATTTGGCTTATATGTAAGCGTATG